TAGGTTCATAATATAGGCGTAAGACAACTACTTGATTTTTAGAACTTTCTTCTCGCTATTTGATCTGAAAATGTGAATCTGTTGAATATTGGTATCGCAATACTCAAGAGTTTGAGACTTAACTATAACAGTAAGCTTGTTGGGATTCATCTTTGTTTATAGAGTGGCTTAGGTCGCACCAGTCATCTTCGCTTTACTGAAAGGCATAGGGATACATGTGTTTAATCATTCCCGATTGACCGATTAAAGTCAGGATGAACAAACAAGATATCGTAGTTCAAGGTAAACCATTCACTACCTCAAAATACATTTTTATCACTGTAAGATAGCTCAAGCAGCCTGACGATTGCCTCTGGTCATTTTTGCTGGCACACATGACCTTCAAAAGCAACAGTATCTTCCGGTAGACGCGCTCAATAGAGTGCAGGACTAAAAGGTGCGTTGAAAGATTGTCACACAAAAATTATTAGCTTTTCGTTTTAAAATAATCACGCCGAGTACTAAGAATGAAAGCAAAGGCGAAAATGTAACGATCTGATATTTTGATGAAATTAGTGTCGATTATCATACCATTTTCAGTTTGTAGGAAATTTGCTGGACTGTGTAAACTGATGATGCAGATGAATGATCGTGTCATCAGAACATCAGCTGAACAGGACTGGTTTTAGGTCTTCGAGCATTTGAACAGCCGATCTACATTCCAAAATCATCTGTTAGATAACAGCCAAGAGGAACAGTACTCCATAAAATACAGGGAGTGCGACGTCGAGGTTCAATAAGTACGGTAGTCCGGATGTGTCATAGTCTCACGGCAAAATAACATCGTTCTTGAATATATTGATAGTTTAGCTGAACGTTCGTTTGAGTATTAATAACGTTATAGTTGGATATAAGAACTTTCGTCTAAATGTGAGCGAATAGTATTTGGGCGCCGAGTTGATGTAAGACAAATATATTATTTCTATTTAACATGTTACAGTTGTATGCGTAAATACAAGCATGTACGAATACTTTGCGGGGGAGAGGTTATTGAGAGTCTCATATTGCATGCAAATAAACTCAGATAGGAATTAGGGTGACTTGCATGTACCAAGGAGGTCGATTCATGATTTAAAGTGTGAGATAACTGTGTAAGATCATCTACTAATGTTCTCAGAAATTGATAAAGATAGCCGAGGTTAAAAATGAAAAATAATAAGTATAGAATGCAATAAAAAAGATAATAATGATAGGTTGCGTTATTCGAAGTCTTGCTCACCAGTGTAAGATCATCTACGTTGATGATTTATGTCAAAATGGTTGGCAGCCTACTATAGTTAGACGAGAATGATGACAAACCAACTGACGCTGAAGTCACACCTCGCGACCAGCACCTTACGTGGATTGCACCATCGACGCATCAAAGGATCATAGATGTTATGGAGACTGTACAACACAAAGGGCGTTATTACAAGAATATATTAGTTAAGGTACAACCACTGCCGCGTGGGCCAGTTCATGGCGTATGGTTGACTGGTGCGCGTTGACTATCCTTAACATTGACAGGGATCAATGATCTGTTCGATATTCAGTGACATTTCACCGACCCTACAACTGTACATGTGAAGCGGATGATGAACATTGATAAAAGTGGTAACCACCAATGTGACTAGAGTTTTGAGGGTGCAGACAACGTGACCGCTTCCTCAAAGGCTGATGCGGAAAACTTGTTATCTAGCGTCAAGTAACACATTACTTACGATAATACGATGAAGTATCTAGTTAAGTTTTAGACTGATTTTGCAATATGTTTTTCCACTGTATGCCGACGTACGAGGCATAAATATACATTAACTCGACTAAAACTTGACGGCAGTAACAGAATGAACGACAACTCTATTTGAAACAAATTATTACAAAGCATCATAAATCTAGTTAAAAGTCACTCAAAGCAATCATGAAACTCGTCCGGGTTACTCTCGCTTCTATGCAATGAAGACCTGAAGTAGATATAAGTTCGATGCGGTACAAATACAGGAGAATTTGAAGCAGATACTACATATTATTGATATAATTATTGGTTTGACACAGTGTTGTGGGCTGAATTTATATGGGTTCGTAAACAATCTGAGCCAGCACTGACTGAGCGGACAATCATAACGAAATATATGATTACAGGAAATTTACGACCCAAAGTCACATTAAATTTCTGAAATTCACACCTTCTTTTTGACCATGAAACTCAGCACTAGGAAATTAAACATGCAGTGGTTAAGTAAAAAACCATTCTAGTAAATAATTTATAACGGTAAATTGTGCACAGCGATTAAGCAGGGAGATTAATTTGTAACCATTTTTTGTTTTTACCTTACTTATTCAAGTGGATAAGTTACAGACAGACATGCATTTTTTGCTGCCCCTTGGCCATACTTTCGAGTGGTTGGTATTTTAACATACTACACAGGACCATTTACATGCTGCTAACGCTTGTTAAAGAATCATGATGTCCGATTGTATTCGCGATAGAGTAGTCGAATAATTAGCGACATCGAGATGAAACAACGAATGTTCGCAGTAACTGGCAAATTTGAGCGACGACAGAAAAGAAAAAGAATATGTATTCATACAATAATAAATTGTGTTACTCAAAGTCTTGCTCACCAGTGTAGAACACAAACGTAGTTGATCTGCGCCGAATGATTAATGGTCAACTAGACTTAGATAGGAATGGTGTGAAAAGCAACTAACATTGAGGTCACACCTCGCGACAACTGCCTAACGTTAATTACCCTTTCGTCGTATCCAGCTCTTATGGCTGCTTTGATGACCGTAAATCACCACCGACATTATTACAAAAATATGTTAGTAAGATTAGGCACAAGGAACAGGATGTGACCATCACGGCACGAGCCAGTCCATGGCGTGCAATTAACTTATCAGCGTTGTTTTTCATTGACTTTGACGAGGATCAGCGAACTGTTCTACATCCACTTACCTAACTGCCGGATAATTAGGCTAGAACCTAGTGACATTTCACTCACCCTACATTCTTATAAATCTCATATCGGGCAACTCGGTTGTCTGGGCATCAGTAGGTGGTGCTAGACTTGTGGAGTTCGCCGATTATGAGTTGTATGATGACTGCATTTAACCCACAAACAAGCATGGCGCAGATGCACAACCACGCAAGCTTTTTCGGTCGACAGCGACAACCAGTTTTGTCACAGGAACAGGATGATATGGCTACCACGTTAGAGTGAGCGAGACTAACGCGTTGCTGGTAGTGTAAATTAGGACTACCTAACTTAAGAAGTTACACCAGTCCAATCAGCCTGACAGGTTAAGACTATTAGTCGAGTAGTAAAAGAAGAGCTACGATACAAAATCTAAAACGGATTTTAAAAAGACATCTCGACTATTTAGTCGACCAATTTAGGCAAGTAAAGAGAGAGAAAGGTTTGGACAAGAGTAACGTTAACCATAGTTAGGCTAGCTATACCTGATTTATGCCTCAGAATTTTTTTTACCATCATCGTCACCTAATACCATAAAATTATTTCATTCTCTTTTTCGTCATGCTCGTTCCCCGTTTTTGTACCTGCACATCTGTCTATCCAACTTGTATTCGTTGTTAATTATTAAAATTTTATCGGACTGCAGTCGTTGTCTTCCATATTAGAGATCTGTACAGTGAGAACGGAAAACCGACGACATGTGTTACTTGTTTGCTAGTAAGCTATTTTGAATGCATTATTTTCTTTCTGATTAGTCAAATGAGGCGTTAAGACCTCTTTCATTGGTAACTAGTTCCAAAATTAGATGGCTCGGTGTGAAAACGTCCATGCCACGGGCAATTTATTTGTTCTTGGCTTTTGAACTCTTTTATGTCCTCTGAGTTATCTTAATTTATCAGGAAGAAAACAAGATATACCAGGTCAAAGATGTTTCGTATTAGTAGCCGCCTAACAACAAGGGCTTAGGGAAACTACTGATCTCTGTGGGATTCGAATTTGCACGATCCAGCCGTATTATACGATATATCATCACTGAGCTATTTGGGCACTTCTGCATTTCAGTTTCCTCTTTAACAGCGAAAAACGAAAGTGCTGAAAAGACAGTCACTTGATGCCCGGTCACCACAAAAATATTAGATACTTCGTCCAAAGGCATTCGAACAGTTGCCAGATGAGGCAATTTAAAAACGACCCTGAGGCAACCTTTTGGTGGATTTTTGAAGTGTTCGGGTGTAGTAGTTGTCTTTGAAAAGGTTGAGTAATTATGGTGAGTTCACGTGTTTTACCAATCTCCCTATTTCGGGAAAGCCTCTATAAAAAATTTTGATGAAATGACACAAAAATTTCCCCAGATTTGAAGATCTCCGAAATTTGGCGAGACTAAAGAACATGGACGACCTTTGAACGAATCTTAAATTACCTTGAGAAATATTAGCCAATCAGAAAACAGTTAGCATACAGTAAAAATATGTTATACAAAACTCAAAAATTAAAGGGGATACTGTTCTTCTACATGACTCAAAAACTTCTCAAGGTCAGATATAGGTTCAGAAGTTCTAAAATCATAGTGCATCCGGCACAGGAACTCATCCCTGTGGCTCCATGGTAGTCGACCTCTGGAACCATGGTAAAGTCCCGAAAATTCTTTCAGCTTCGACCACATAGTTTCAGTGTTGTCGGTATGTTGGTATGGTTTAGGACAAGGGTTAAGGTTTAGGTTTACGGTTTAGGATTAAAGATGAGATTATAAATTATGGACGACATTTGAGCGACGCTAGAGTAAATCTGAGTGTCAACGTGATAACTAAGACTAAATGAGGGTTACAAACCCGTGTGAAGAATTCAAATTATGATTTACAGTTCATGGTTAAGGTTAGGAATCACCAACTGACATCAGCTATAATGCCACAACTCTATCCAAATGTATAATTGAATGTTGCGCCAAAATCATTTGATAACTTATCTTGTAGACGCTTAATTATAACGTTTTCTCTAAAATCCGTTGTAAAGCGACGCGCGCTATTTAAAAAGGACAGTGGTATTTTTCCTCGTTGAGTAAATTCTATTGTTTTGATCGTTATTAACGTATCAAGACTACTGTTTTTATACTTTGATTGAATTTCTTTCAGTTAAAGTATTCTATTAGAGTATCATCTTTGGTATCCTAAATAGTTTTATCGTCGGTACTCCAGAGTACCTTTTTTTTCCATTGTGTCTGTTAGTACTTTGGTCCTAACTGTTTATAGTTTTTTTTTCTACTTATAGTCAACACTCACTTTCGCATCTTAAAATGACTGGAAGATGCAACAAAAGTATTTGCCACCGCCCAGGATGTCGATATCCTGTTGATAGCGGCATGCAGTGCGATGAGTGCAAAGGTTGGTACCACGATGTTTGCACGAATCTAACACCTGCAGCTTTCAAGCGGTTTAGTAAAAATGGATGTGTATGGCTATGTCAACAGTGCTGTTTGGATGCAAATAGCCTGCTAACCGAGGCCATTTCAATAGTAAATGCCGCAAAAAAGTGTCTCGGCAAGCGCGGTCGGGATACATCAGTCAGAACTCAATCTGTCGACACGCAGATTGACACAAGGCAGGCCCAAGTGAGTCCAAAAACTGCCGACCCACACCCTACTAAGGAGGAAGAACATCCTCCAAAGAGGACTGTTACAACCAGAAACTCGCGCAAAAAAGTCTCTTCTGTCCCTCGTATCAAAAATGGTACCCAGAAGGGAACTTCAGGAAGCCGAAACCGCAAGGCTCGATCGGTTTCCAGCGCGAAAGATGACCCGATCTCCCAAGTCGTCCTGACTCTTCCGGAATCCCACAGTACGCCTGACGCGAATGTGGTTACCACTCCAAAGAACGTTGGCGATTGGGTACGGGTCGTAAGAAAAAAACGCCAAAATGACGTAAAAGGAAGTCATACCCCCACCAAAAGGGTCGACAAGCCGAGGTCTGATCACAGCGACAGATCAGTCATTCTCCATAGAGTCAAGGAGAGTGACAACTTAGAACCGAAAGCTCGTTTTGAGCATGACATTGTGTTGATAAAACAACTACTCAACCAAGTTATGCCCAAAAACATCCCCGGAGTCACCTTGCTAAAGGTGTATAGATTAGGAAATCTAGCGCATCTGAAACCAAATCAGTCTAGACTACTCAAAGTCGTTTTCAAATCCTCAAACGAACGCGACTTAATCTTAGAAAATGGACACAAATTAAAGGGTTCAGGAGTTTTTCTCCGTAAGGACTTACCGTTGGCGGACCGTGTTAAAAGACGGGAAGCCGAAAAGGAACTACAGCTCAGATTAGACGCTGGCGAAAAAGACCTGAAAATTGTAAATTTTCGGGTTGTGAGGCTTCGACAGAGGATGATGCCGAAGCCACTCTGGGTGAAGCACGAGGCCACCTAAATAGGCTTCGGATCTGTTATACCAACGCCCGGAGCTTACTAAATAAGCTACCGGAACTAGGTGTACAGATTGACTCAACTAGGCCAGACATAATCGCAGTCACAGAAACATGGCTGACGCCGTCTATAGATAGTAGGGAACTTGATTTCGAGGGTTTTACATTGGTAAGGGCCGATAGAATACAAACGCGTAAAAGAGGGGGAGTAGCTCTATTCATTAGGAATGCTATTCCATTCACCATTATCGACAGTGTATCCCATGAGAGTGGGACGTATGAATTAGTTTGCTGCCGCCTGAAATGCAGGGGACAAGAGTTACTACTTAGTTTGATCTATCGCAGTCCAAGCTGTGAGGCAAACGAGGTCCTGCTAAGCAGTCTCAACACTTTATCACGAAGTGATCGATGTCTAATCTTAGGGGACTTCAATGCACCCATGGTGGACTGGGGAAATCTTCGGACTGAATCGTCAGCAAACTCCTTCGAACAGGAACTAGTTGATGCGATAATCACTTGTGCTCTAGTGCAACACGTGAAGGAAGCAACTAGGTACGACCCGGGTTCTGCATCATCCTTACTAGATCTTATATTGACTCATTATGAGGATGATGTTGCAAACCTGGATTACATGCCACCCCTAGGCAAAAGTGATCATGCAGTTTTAAGCTTTGACTTCCATATAACTGTCGATCATGAGTACGCTTCAGCTCAATCCAGACCTAACGTCTGGAAAGCAAACATAGCAGACATCATGAAATCAGCATCATTAGTAGATTGGAAATTAGATCCAGAGTCATCAATCGAAACGGCTTGGGACGTATTCCGGAATTTATACTTAAAAGTTACCGCCCCCCACATCCCTTGGACTACACCTAAGAGACCGAGAAACTCCCCACCGTGGTTCAGTAGGGAGGTTCGCATCCTTCTCCGTAAAAGAAGGAAAATGTGGGACAGATTTAGGTTACTGGGGACTGACGAGGCGAAATCTCAGTATCAAAAGGCTCGAAATACCTGTGCCTCGACCCTCCGTAAGGCCAGAAAGCTGTACGAAGAGAAAATCGTAAGGGAATCCATAGAATGCCCTAAACGCTTGTATTCGTATATAAACCAAAGGACAAAAAGGAGAAGAAATGTTCCCTCATTATGGGGAGACAGTACTGCCACATCACTAGTGGAGGATGACTTTGGCAAAGCTCAAGTATTCTCTAAATACTTTAGCGATGTATACACCATAGAAACACCCTTCTCACCAGTCCATGAAAATCCACCCACACAAGCACTGGACAGCGTAACCATTGAAGAACTCGATGTTTTTGGTCTGCTAGTTAAGCTTGACATAGGTAAATCCACTGGACCCGATGAACTGCATCCTAGGTTACTAAAGGAATTAGCTAACTTTGTTGCGAACCCTTTAAGTGTATGTTTTAATCTATCCGTAACCCAGGGTCGTCTACCAAAAGACTGGAAGAACGCCATAGTAAGTCCAGTCTTCAAAACAGGTACAAAACATAAGCCCGAGAATTACCGACCAATTAGCCTAACTAGTGTGGTTGTTAAAATCTTAGAAAAGATTATTCGGAAGGAACTGTTAAAGTATCTCGATGAAAACCGGATCCTCTCCGAAAAGCAGCATGGTTTTAGAACAGGTTACTCTTGTCTCACAAACTTATTAGTCGCTCGTGAAAGCTGGTGCGCTCTTAAGGACCAAAAATTACCTATAGACGTAGCTTACATCGATTTCAGCAAAGCCTTTGACAAAGTTCCGCATAACCGGCTGTTATATAAGCTAAGGAATGTCGGGATTGGAGGCAATCTATTGATGTGGATAAAAGACTTCCTAGTTGGGCGTCAACAAAGAGTAAGGGTGAACTCCAAGTTGTCTAGCTGGGAAACTGTGCTTAGTGGAGTCCCCCAAGGTACAGTTTTGGGGCCAGTGTTATTCCTCCTGTACGTAAATGATCTCCCTTGTCTACTATCGTCATCGGTCTTACTCTATGCTGATGATGTCAAGATATGGAGAGCGATACAAAGCAAGAGCGATAGCTTAGAACTTCAAAATGACCTGGAGAGATTATCTGAATGGTCCCAAACCTGGCAATCGCCGATAAACACTTCCAAGTGTATTGTGATGCATATTGGCCATCAGGGTACAGATACATACACGATGAATAACACTGAGTTACCTATTGTTCAGGCACACAATGACTTAGGCGTCATCGTTAGTCAAGACTTAAAGACTACTGCACACTGCCGTGCAATAGCCGCCAAAGGTTTTAGGACTTTATGGTCCATACGCAGGGCTTTTAGGCATCTTGACGCTAAAACGTTTCTGACTTTGTATACAGTGTTCGTACGCCCTAAACTTGAGTACTGTATACAAGCAGCTAACCCCTGCCTAAAAAAAGACAGTGAACTCTTGGAAAGAGTTCAGAGAACAGCAACTAGGCTGATTCCCGGAATAGCGAAGCTCCCGTATGGTACTAGACTGACCAAGCTAAACCTATTCCCGCTGTCATATAGAAGAATCAAAGGTGACTTGATTATAGTTTTCAAATTGCTAAATGACAAATTTGCACCTGATATGCCCTCATTTTTCTTGTCTTCCAAAACAGAAAATCTACGAGGACACTCCAAAAAAGTTCACAAGCCCAGAACGAATTACTTGTCAGCTGACTACCGACTTTCCCATCGAATAATCAACGAGTGGAATTCATTACCTCAGCACGTGGTTGAGGCTCCATCCGTCGACTCCTTCAAAAGAAAGTTGGATCAGCTGAGAGACCATCATTGCCAGGACTAACACAGGCCACCAAGCCTACTGTCCTTTCCAAACTGAAACTGAAACTGTACGTAATCGTCAGGTCTTGAACTTAGCGCCGTGACCTTGAAAACCCGCGAAAGTTTCTGATTGGCTCATCCATGTTCTTTATTACTCCCCAATACTCTATTCTTTTTTGGGGACTTTCTGCACGATTTCCGGTTATCCCACATACTGCATTCTGAAAACCGCGAATTTAAGCGATTGCACAAAAAAGCCTGGCGACTTAATAATAAGTTGCCAAAAGTTTCTACTCATCTATTCCATCTTTCTTCTGTCAACCTCTCAAATTGAACGCGATTCCAAAGCGATTTAATCATAGTAACAAGAACCGGTCTGTCGCGATAAATCAGCGTTGCTGTAATTAGAAGACTAATGCATTATAAATAAAAACTTGTTTATTAAAGTTTAATAAAGTACCAATTATCCATCAATACATGACTTCTACCAGTTTTTAACACCTGCTCATATGTTTTGAATAAATACATTGGGTTGATGTTGAACTTTCGTTCACAGTGTTCTACGAAAGGAGAAAAAAGTTACTCTTCTGTATTACAAACGCAGTATCAAAAAAGCCGAATTGCTTATGGTGAACAAACTAGTGAACTATGCTAGAGTAATCATCCAACGTACGAGTCCATAATGCAGTGTGAAATGTTGATTACGTACCAACGACATAACAATAATGTATTGTGAATAAAAAGCTTGCAGTTAGGTCTGTTAACACTTACGAAGCCGGCTGGAAATAAGGTTAATAGGAAGTAATTATTTCAGTACAAATTTTTATCAGAAACAAATATAAAAACAAACCGGCATTACATCACGGATCTAAAGTACATTGAGCTCGTCCTTTCTTTGGATTGCCATCCACGCTTAACTACGTCATCTCTTGCATCGTGTAAGAAAGCCTGACTTGAAACGTTCATGGCTTGTGTTATTTCTTTTTTTCTGGACAGGTTTCACTTCGGAATTGTAAACACAGAACATCTACAAATATTTTAAGACCGTTATGGGAACCTTAAATCGTTCTGTAGAGTCTGTAATTACTGATACCAATTTTATAAACACCTAACACAACTTCCGAACAGATCACGAAACTGGTGCTCCTCCAAAGCAGCTTCAAAAGTACGCACTTCTTCAGGTGTTTTTATGGGTAATGCGAGACTTGAAGTGTTTATGCTGTCGTCTTGCCCATCTTTCACACCCATGGTTGAGCTTTTAACGTAAGCAGTCAGTTTATCAATATTTTTAGACACTACTGATTGCTTTCAAAATCACTTTGCTATCGCCACCGTGCAACCTATCGCTATCATGTTTACATTTACTCCAACTTACGGTTTACTAACCTCTGTTGAATTAAATGGAAGCGGTGGTGACAAAACCTATTTCCGATGTCCTGCTTTATGACCTTGTATTCAATAGGTACTTACTTGGCGATAGGTTAAAAGTTCCCAGTTAAAATGTTGACAACTGGGACACATCCGGCTTCCGTTTCAGCGACCTCTAGTTCTTCAGAGGTGCACAGGTAGTCGTTCAGTATACGTCTGATAACCCTAACAACGAATGGCGTATATTTATCAATTCACCTCTTTCGCTTCTCCGTTCCACATGGTATCGTATCCTCCTCAGGTGTAATATTGTTTTTGTAACCGAGTACTGTAGTGAAATATACTTTCAGTCCCTGAGCTATATGGTAGTCATCTCAAAACAATATATAGCCTCTGCCAGGGAAGTCCTACTCACTGTCTCCTCGTAGCGGGGGTGTTGTTTACGAAAGTGAGAGGACGAAGAGCGAATGTCCAGCGCTTTAACCGGGTTGATGGACACGGAAAATCCACCTAGAGGAGTTGGAAAACCCTTATTCCAAACCAATGGTGCACATGGCCTCCAGTATCCTGGTGGAACGAATGGCGTATGAACTTATTGTTGGTCACCAGCTACCATGGGACTTCATCTCCTCACGATGCTCCACTGCCTTGTGGATCAGACTTTTATGTCAAAGGCTCGGGATGTGGCCCCTCTAAGAAAACCACCTGCTTCAGTCTGGGCACCTGGGCAGTATCCCAGCCCTCATACAAATCAAATGAGATTTGTGAGGCGCATATTTATCTGGTGCTTTTTGTACCAATATTTATGTGTTTAAATAAATAAAAAAATTAATGAAAACAGTGATTTCAAAGTGATGACAACTTACCACAATAATTCAATACAGTGCACACTCTCAAGGAGAAGCAACTATCGTAATCGATACAATCAAGAATATCGGTCACAGTATCATCATTGCTGTAGATAAAAAGTTCCTTGTTGAACAGCCATTTGCTAGGGGTGGCTAAAATATGTTTTTTTCCTTGTCGTGAACCAAGATGTACTGTCCGGATTGATGCTGATAATTAATGCCATAGCATTGAAAATTATAAAATTTTTACATTCATGAACTCAGTATCATTTGTAATGACTTCAGGACATTAGTAATGAGTTCCCGGTAAACGATGCCAAAACACTAACCAACAGACCGAAATATTATATTTGCGATAGGCCTCGAGAAATTATGTAACCCTATCTATAGAAATGTATGCAAAAGGGAAATGATAACCCCATAATATTGTGTCGGTATATAGATGCACTTAAAATGTATATCTGCCAGTCTAATCCACACACATTCGTGGCTTACTATAGAATACTTGAATATACCTAAAGTACCGGAGGGAAAGGGGTCAGTAAATAAATTCAAAGGGTTGTGGAATGCCCCCATCAGTAATTTGTATGATGAACTCCGGATGACCGTTTGTAATTACAATGTTGTCAGGCTTGGTAGTTAACAGCTTTGAGTTTCTGCAAGTAATGATTTCCTTAGAGAAATCATAACTTACGTCAGACTCAATCACATTGTCTGATATGCCCTGATTCAGTAGACTTTGAAGGTTAACTTCTTCAGCATATCGCTGTGCAGCTTATTTATTTTTTTTATTTATTTAAACATAAATATTGGTACAAGGAAGCACCAAATACATATGCGCCGCACAAATCTCATTTGATTTGTGTGAGGACTGTGATACTTCCCAAACTGAAGCAGGTGGTTTTCTTAGGGAGTCACATCCCGAGCCTTTGACCTAAAAGTCTGATCCACAAGGCAGTGGAGCATCGTGAGGAGATGCAGTCCCATGTTAGCCGGTGACCAACGATTGATTCATATGCCATTTGTTCCCTCAGGATACTGGAGCCCATGTGCACTATTGGTTTGGAATAAGGGTTTTCCAACTCCTCTAGGTGGACTCTCCATGTCCACCAACGCGGTTAAAGCGCCGGACATTCGCTCTTCGTCCTCTCACTTTCGTAAACAACACCCCCGCTACGAGGAGACAGTGAGTAGGACTTCCCTGGCAGAGGCTATAAACGCGTGGCCATGTGAGAGCATTTGGAGAGGGAGAGCGGACTCTCCCCACTCTCGGCCGTACCAGGGCATTTGGGGGCAGCTTGTGTAGTCGTCGCAAATCCCCAGTGTATTTAAGGCCTTATTTTTTGTAGTTAAGATTCAAAAGGAAAGGCAGAAAACGCTTCTAGACTATCATGTTCAATCACCTCATCAACAATATGCTTTAAACTACGCACATGATAGTTTAAATGTTCCCTACGGTAGCAATTTTCGTAATCCAATAAGTTCTTCAGATGAACACTGATGGATCCTAAAATAGATTGATCCATCCGATTTATTCGCTTGTTTGCTAGATCCCTCCACAATGAAATTCGGTTTTTGGTGATGCCTAAACATATCATGTGCATCGGTTCAGAGGGAAAATCCCTCAACATATCTAGTGCAGATTTTCGAAGGAACGTCTACCACGATGATGGATCCATTGGGACCTACTACGAAAAGTGACATCACTTCTCAAGCTGTGTTCACCATTGGGGAAAATCATTCGAGCACCCAGTTGTGTCCCTAAAACCTCATATTTGTCACAGTCACCATTGTGTTCAACAACATACCTGACGTTGCTACGAGCTGGAGTGTCACAAATAACAACTTATTTTACTATCAAATGTAACTGATACTTAACTACATAAAGGCTCATTGTCAGCAACTTTTGTAACTCAGTCACAAATGCTGCAGACATTTCGATGAAACCAGATTGTTTTACTTTACCATCATAGTTGCCAGCTATGAATAGTTCACTAAGGAATGAACGTACTAGGCGACTTAGGATTGGCCACAACTGTTGGTTAGATCTTCTGAACAACGACAGGCCGCCGTTATTGAGTTGCAGTTTCAGTTCGCCGAAACTGAATATGAGTAGCCGATTTTCGGAAATCCTCAGCAAACTTGTTTTCAGCCCAATGTGGTAGTACACTCCTGTGTCCAAAAAATCTGGTTCCACATTATGGCAACGACTAAGTACTCTTCTAACAGATATGGCAGTTCAGGAATGTACACCCGAAAAATGTCCAAAATTAGTGTTAGCTAACACTAACTTAATATTCCTCAACTCTACATCCTAACCTAAATACTACCTAAGCAACTCTGAAGTGAGCTTTGTCTCAATTTTCCATTTCGTAATAGATTTTAATTGTTAAGACTGATTTTCGTTGAATATTCATTCCTATTCGAAGGTAGAGGTAGGCTTATCTCTAAGAAGCAGGATTTTATCATGAATTTCAATTTCCGCTTTACCTCGCTCATTGTGATAGAAACAATGACAGACTAATCTCACAGTGATGTTTTCAAAATGAACAGGCTTAATGTTTTCCGGTAAGAACATAACTAGTCCATGTATTTATTTTACTACTCAACTTTTAACCACAATCAACTTCAGTGATGGGAAAACCACCATCATGAATATTATAAGAGTAGATGACTATCATGAAATATTTGTTATCCTTACATTATATTGTGGGACTCATTGTGAAATACTGTTGATTTTATTATCATTACTATTATTGACATCATTATTACTATTTAAACATCAACATTAGTATAAAAGGCGCCAGGCAAATCATTCGATGTGTGAGGGCTAGAATATTATCCGGGCGCCCAAACCGAAACAGCTAGTTTTCTTAGGGAGCTACACCCCAAGCCTTTGATCTAGATGTCTAACCCACAAGGCAATGGAGCAACGTTGGGAGATCCAGTCCCATGGTAACCGGTTACCAACACAATGGGTTCATACGCCATTTATTCCCTCAGGATCTTGGAGTCCATATACATCATTGGTTTGGAATAAGGGTTTTCCGACTCCTCTAGGTGGATTTTCCGTGTCCATCAACCCGGTTAAAGCGCCGGACATTCGCTTTTCGTCTTCTCAATTTCGTAAACAACACCCCCGCTACGAGAAGGCAGTGAGTAGGACTTCCCTGGCAGTGGTTGTATACGCGTGGCCATGTGCGAGTATTTCGAGAGGGAGAGCGGACTCTCCGCACTCTCGGCCGTACCAGGGAATTAGGGCTGTAAGTTAAAATATATTACCTATGGCTAAACAAAAATATTAAATCGGTAGATATTGCCATAGTTCTGGTTAGTTTCTTGCTCTAGAATTCAAGACGGGTGTCGTCCTTGTACATACCCACAATTTGGATGTACCAGGATCCCAATATTGTTTGGGTTTACGCTGGAACCCGTTACCTACTGCTAGCTAACATCCGAAAAATAAATATAAAAAGTTTAGCAACTAGCAATATTGAAAGGTTTTCTTAACATCTACATATGTCATCTGAAATTGATCAAACGTAATTCTTAACATCAAAACGTGCACAGACTTTCTAATGAACAATATTCCTACATTAGTCATATATTTTTTACTTTAATCTAGTGGGTTGAAGAAGGTGATTGGTAATAATATGCAGATCTGGAAATCTCGTTTAATAGATTATCAGTTGATCTTTAGTAAAGTTGGACTTTGTGATCATATTGTTAAACTTTGTCTAAGTTTCATCTCCACATAAACTTTTGCGAAAATATAAATTCTTCAGGACAGGTATTAAAGTCGACCAATTCTACACTACCGCCTTCATCTCCCCTGAACTTAACAGTATTTTAATAAGGGATATACGGGTTTGGTCGGCGCTCTATCTTTAACACAACCTTATTATTTATTTTCCCAGTAATTTTGAGATTCGGATATTGACTTTTCTATGTCCAGTCTGGTTTCACGTTGTAGTGATAAATCATGATGGTGGAATACACAAGTCTTTTTTATTAGGTTTATTCTTTGGTTGGAGGCTATCAAGTTTAAGAAACAAACGATCTGGTTTAATGTATGTCTGAGGACGTATAATTTCGGCCAACTTTCTTGTTGAGAGTAGGTAACAAACAACCTTTTTATTTTTCACTTAATGTTGAACAACAACATCAAAGTCATCCTGTTTTTAGCTAATTTTGTCACAGTGAATTAATCACCTGTTTAATAATATTCCTAGTCTTACGGACAATAAGTGATTTACCTGTAGGTTTTTACCATCCTTATTTCACCAAAATAAATATTTATGTTCAATATTTTAGTTTAGTTTGAATACAATATTGGTTATTGAGTAGTTTCCGTTTAATAATTTGCCAGTATTCCATCGTATGAGTATTAAAGTGTTGAACAATCGTTATTTTTTTCACCCTTTTAGAATCAATAAAACAAAAGATAAGTGAACATCACGGGTTTTCTTCGTACATAATGTGGCAAGAAATATCACAAAATTTGTGTAAAAATGTGTCGGATACATTTTTATTGGAATACATGCATAAATTCTGTTGTGGCAACCCTCACAATTCTGGTAGCGAAGGAAATTACGAAATTGCGAGTAAATACATTTTATTGTACTTTTTAAATTTTTTCAAGCCGATCTGTTTTCACAGTTATTAATTAAGTTGGTTCATACTAGTTATTTTTGTTCAGTGCTTCATGTAATGTGACACTTGGATTTAATAATGTCTTATGGCTGTGCGATTAGAATAAGTATTTAGACATTGTGAAAATTCTCGTGCTTGTTTTCAGTACGTTAGGGGAACTTACACGTATATGCGTTCCAAGTCAAAATAAATCTGTAAATAAATAGACAAGTTTAGGGGTAGTTTTTATAGGGATCACATCCTAGCTGCAACTGTACACTTAACTATTTGTAATTCCCATTTGTTATCGGAACATGGGATTCGTTCGTCTTATTAACTTATAGATTGTAATTACTAATTCAATTCCTAGCTAAAAGTCCATCTGAGCCACTATGACTGATTTCGTGCTCCCAAATGCCATGGTACGGCCTAGGATGGGGGAGCCACCTCTCCTTCTCGAAATACTCGCACATGGCCACGCGTATACAACCACTGCCAGGGAAGTCCTACTCACTGCCTTCTCGTAGCGGGGGTGTTGTTTACGAAATTGAGAAGACGAAAAGCGAATGTCCGGCGCTTTAACCGGGTTGATGGACACGGAAAATCCACCTAGAGGAGTCGGAAAACCCTTATTCCAAACCAATGATGTATATGGACTCCAAGATCCTGAGGGAATAAATGGCGTATGAACCCATTGTGTTGGTAACCGGTTACCATGGGACTGGATCTCCCAACGTTGCTCCATTGCCTTGTGGGTTAGACATCTAGATCAAAGGCTTGGGGTGTAGCTCCCTAAGAAAACTAGCTGTTTCGGTTTGGGCGCCCGGATAATATTCTAGCCCTCACACATCGAATGATTTGCCTGGCGCATATGTGTTTGATGCTTTTTATACCAATGTTTATGTGTTTAAATAAATGAATAAATCGTGTCATATCTAAAGGTTTCCAACTACATGTTATATTTATCGTATTGAAATCAACGTAGTAGCCTACACTTGCTAACGTGACATAGGCCAACTGTCAACGACTTCATGGGTCGATACTATATTGGCTTGTTACCCGAGAGCTTTATTTTAACTCACCATTATGTCACATAGTCGCTAGGTCTTATCTTTAAACTTCTGTCCACCCACTTCAATGTGAACAGTCTGTTAGTGTCGCCCTCACATAATTATGTACTTGGTTCCTAAGTCACTATTGTAGATTGATTGATAATATTTATCTCTGGTTTTACAGTTCGACTTATTTATTGTCTACAATATTGTGAATATTGTAGACCTCATAGAAAGGAGCTGGAAAGAATGGGGCTGGCCTGTTGTCGACAGACAAGAATTTTATGTGACTCTACCTTTGGGCCCTCCTGAAAATGGTCCATGGAATGAGGTTCTTCTTACCAACTCGGACGGTACCGAAGTCATACACAGAGCTCAAAATAGTGGTGAGTTTCTACATTTTTGTACCTACTATTCGGTCATTTTAGTGAATATTTTTCATTAAAGCCATAACTGTTTAGAATATACCCATACTCCAGAGTAATTAGTTATTCATCTAGATGTATGGTTAAATCTTTTCTATTTGTTGATGATTTGTCGAACATTACATGTTGAGCTATTTTCAATACTGAGATTACTAATGAACATGAGTCGGAAAACCATCTAAAGCAGGACAGCTGTCGCATCCTAGTACCTGGCTCCTCAGTAGCACCCATCCATATAGGGTTGTTACTTAAAGTGCTTTTACCTAATGTATGTTTCGACAACATATGTTCTATACGATAATACTTAGTTAAGTTCTAGAAACTCCGTGAAGTCATTTCTATTTGACGAATCTCAGGGATCGAAGGTTGAAATGTAATGTTATCTTTGTTACAAGTCGTCGGTTGTAAATACTGTACTATATATGCTATATTATCAGTGACAAACCAGTTTACCTTCGTTAATTTATTTCTAGTTTCTTAGCACATTACTAGCATGTTCCTTCTTTAGACGTACAATCAGAATGAAGAAAGAATGTTCACGAGTCTGTCATAGTTTCGATTTATATATTATTTGATTGAGGATGTATGATATACGACCACAATGTACTACAGTTTACAAGTCTTAGTAAAAAAATGGTGTATTTTTTAGATATTAAACTGAGTAAGTGTTAACTAACTTGTTTTTTCTACGACAATTATGTACGAAAATAATATCAAATAATAATAGTTCTTGCTACCTACACCACTATAATAATTGTCCATTGACCTTTTAACTTATATCATATCTGATCAACGTTTTCATTTTAATGGGACTTAAACAACAGTTGTTTGGTTGCATAAGGTATTCGTAAATGTAATGAGCTCTCATGGTTATCATATAAAAATGACCAATATTCATCAGGGAAAAATATTCCGCAAGAGATGTCAACAAAAGTGTTTAAAACAATACTAGTAGAGTAATTGTTAGCGAGAAGTAGATTGGATTAAAGCGTGTATTATGCACGGTTGCGTTGCCGCACACTGATTGGATAATAATTAGCCAATCAGCGCTGGTCGATACTTTTTAGAAGACCCTAGAATCTTCTCATGTAAAAAATACTAGAAATATACTGACGTATCTCTTATTATGCTTCTAACTTCCATCTACCCTTGTCTTTTGGACTATAATTTCTTCCTGTTCAATCGTGTTCTGATCTGGGGACTTGTCGAGTGAATTGGTGTCCAAGAATACCAAACAATAGGAATAGCTGGGTCATAATAAGAGAAATTATAACAGTAATATGCCAACAACAAAACTGTAGTTCAGTTGTTTGAGGATTCCGATTTCCGGATCACAAACTCAAACTCTGCTCCTTGTGCTGCAATTCGGGGAGCTGGGTTATGTCTCTGTTCGTTAAATGAAGACTGGTTTAAAGTTAAGTACAGGAAAGTGCATGTTTTAAGTACTTCATCAAAATTTTGTATTGTAATTTTAGATGTGAATTCATAATTAAGTTGCATTTCTCGATTATTTTAACGTCATCTTGTGTTCAGTTTCATAATTACACACCAAACCATCCACATCTTGTATTCTTATGTATCTGTTAGTGTAGTCTGAGATTACACTAGCTTTTACTGCTGTTTTACCTCAATTCGATAATCCATTCATAACTCACTACATCTGAAAGTTCGAACTTCTCTGCTTCTACTTCAGTTTATGCAGCTGTGTAGTATCATTAACCCTCATACTTAGTATATTGCCCAAAGTCCTGTACAAGAATCTGTACCTGGAGAATGAGTCGCTTTAAATTTCATTTTAGTTTTTCGTAATGATATATTTTTATTTATTTATTTAAACACATATATATTGGTACAAAAGGACACCAGATACATATGCGCCACACAATGATATAGACGCTAACAGGTGATTAAAACTTTTGTTTCATGTATTCTACGTTTCTCACACTTTGAATTTAGTGACTGTATCATACTATGGTGTGTGCTACTTATGTCGACATACATAAGTAGTGTGTAACACCAATCGGAAGTAGAAAATCTGGCAGCAGAAAGCTAAGGTGATCGAATTGAAGAGAATAGAAAGGAAAATGTAAAGGAATTGTGAGCTGGAAGAATCATACAGAGTATGAGGGACAAGTGATGGAAATTTTCAAATTAAGTGTTCAGTGTATTGTTCTCATATTTTACCAAGATATTTTGTAATTTTGCATTAAAAATACATCGGTTGTCCCCACTTGTGATCTGGTTTACTACGTCACTAGAGTATTGTGTGCTACACTGGGAACGCTTGTGATTAAGTAACCCTTTCTCATCAAAAAATTTTTTCATACTAATGGACTTAAACAAATTATTATTCTAGTTAATTGGGTTTGAACATTGAATTTAACTGATGTAAACGAATAATCGTGTTTCTATTTCTGTCAATATTTTTTCACAGTTCCTTAAATTTTCTGTAAAACACGTTGATTTTTAAAATATTTTGGAGAATAATTTTTTATATCTATAGTTACTGTTCCATCGAAGTCTGAAATATGCTCTCAAAATGTAACTGTTGACAACTCCGGCAGTAAGCAGTTACCTGTTTATCAGGCTTATTCGTGCTCTGGTGTGTCGTTTGGATATTTGGTATTTGTGAACTATGCAAGACGTAAGGATTTGCTGTTGTTTGATAAATTGCAAGGCCGAAAAAAGGGTGAACCTAGTCATATATGTAACAAGAATTTGATTGTTATTGCTAGACTGGGCAACGGAACTCGACAATCCAAGTTAAAAAATTTAATGGAACACTGCACTTGTGGTCAAAATAATACTTCACTTCCTGACCACCATCCTGGCGCTCTTATTCTGTATCCTGATCCACAAGATTTTGCTGCAGATGGTCTAGTTTATCCTAATGGCAAAGGGCTACCAGGGGATGCTCCTGTATTTGGTCATATGAATATGAAATATGCTGGCGGTGGTGACTCGACCTGCACTGGATTTCCATCGCTTCGTGAGTTGGTATTTTCTATTGTTTAGGATTGGTTTGCACTTCAGATATTTACCTATCGACTAAAGGATTTTTTCGGAACAATCTTAGCTTATCCTTTTCTGACCAGAATCGAGTTGATATGAATATACTGATACATAAAGTAGCTGTTCTGTCGTCTGTTGCTTCTACAAGTTTTCTAGGGAGTATGTTTAAATATAAGTCTTTGGTGATATTCGATGAATTTTTGGATAATAAAGGCATTAGGATTTTCATGAAAATTTAATCTGTTTACCAGTCAGTCATATGCAACACATAACCTGGAATAAATGTACATCGGTTCGAGTTTCCACGGCACGTAGCCACAAATGTGTGGAATTATCAAGATAAATTTCGGAGTAGTCATATTTAGTTACATTGTCAATAGTGGTAAAAAATACTGAAAAAGTTATTAGCGGTATGATTTAACAGGAAAGGGTGAATTGGTGAAATGAAAGTACATGAGGCGAAATTAAGAATCTAAGGGAAGATAAAGAGGGCATGCACTTTTACTACTTTCAATGTCACCCGATTGAACAACCCATACCATTTATATGTATAATTTTGATTCTCTTGTGTTTTTTAGTTCTTCAATATATATTGGATTTATTGATGAATTATAACGGCCTGAGGTTTTATCGAAAGACTAATTTGTTTACTGACATTTCAGTTGATAAAACTAGTTAAACGTTTGATGATTTTTTTCATTTTATTAAATTACTTGACTGTTTGCCAAAATTTCTATTTTGAACTTTTAAAACATATCTTAGTTTTATGTTGTCTTTTTGATTCCAGCCCATATTTATCGAACTGATACACTTGTACAAGGTGATGCCCTTACACAGATTCCTGTTCAACCTGTTGGTTATGATGATGCCAAAATATTTTTATCGAGCTTAGAGGGACCGACTATCCCTAATGATTGGGATACTCGTTTGGCGACTCATTTGGGACCATCAACTAAAACGTAAGGTTTTAGAAGTAATTCTATGTTTGACAAAGTTATTCTTTGTAAGCCAAGTGGTTCATGAGTATTTTATGCTGCGTCTGTTGGAGACATGGTAATCATTTTGTTATTGTTCGTATGGTTGATTATCTCACTCTGTTCAAATACTCAGTTCCTCAGAGTATCAGTTAATTCAGTGATAACACTTTGATGAAATGACATATGGTTAGATTTGTAAGGAAGGTTGGTGAAGGTTTCTGACTATTTTGAGAAACAGCAAGACAATCGAAATCGTACTTACTGTTGAATATAACCATATAGCAATTTATTGATTGTATAAGTAGGCTTGGGTGATGTTTTATTCATGTTATTTTGTTTCCTTTAATATACTTTAATAGCTAAGAATTTCATTCTCAGAGATGTTTTTCAAAAGTAATTCCACATACTTTAATTGGTTACTTACAATACTGCTTTTTACTTAGCATGAAATAGTACCTTATAAATTACAACTCTTGGTAAGTATATTCGGATATGCTGATTAAATTACGAACTATTCTACAGTGTGCGTAATAGTGGCTAGATAAAGGTCCGTGGTCGAAAGCTCACTTTATAAAACCCTAAATCTTAACGTGTACTTAGACACACCGTTCAACTATCAGTTCTCATTTTCAAAACTGACCTCACCTTCTTTCTATTTTTCAGTTAGTTAGTACCTCGAGTGCTCGCATCATAAGTGTGGTTCAGAGTAAGCGAATCTCTGCTGGATTACTAAGTTATATTTCCCGTTTCAAACTTCAACGTTATGGATTCATAATTCTTTATAGAACGTAGTTTGGTTTATGTTTGAATTTAATCCTATCTGGTTTCCCCTACGTAGTGCACCCATCTTGGCAATGACTTATTTTTCCTCAAGCTTGTCTAATCATAGTATAAAACTAAGATAAAAAAAAGGAAATTACTGTAGCTGGCTTATGAAGATTATAGGAGGGAGATAGATTTTGAATTAATCCGCCTCACTATGTCAGTTTTTAAGGTGTCCTATCTAAAATCCAGAATTATTATTTTTCTGGCCCCAACCGGTAAACTCCTATTCAAATCTAGATTACAGTCGATTATGTCAGTCTACCTGTTCAATGTATTCATTTGATTACCTTAGTTTTCTCGTTTACGCAGTCCTAGGCCACCTAATGTTGGCAGATTGTGAGTTTTCTTAATTAGGTATTCGTTTATAAAAATTGCGATTATTTTCAATTCATCTGCCTATATAGGTTATTATAAGTTTCTATCTAATTTAATGTCAGAATATTTTTTTATTTATTAAGAAATAGATTGCTAATGTAAAGTGTATGGTGAAATTATTTCTTTGTATTTTACAATTCCTAATAATATTGACTGCATCAGTGTAGGATTGTCACATCCTGTAACCCTGGCTAAAAAGCTTTAAAAAGTGGACATGTTTGTTTCTTTATCTTTACAGCTGTTTAAAAGTTGTAGTACATAATCAAATCTCTAAAAACCCAGTGAAGTTATGTAATATAGTGGGTATAATGCCGGGTGAAATAACACCCACTTCAACTGAATCTGATCAATATATAATTATGGGTAATCATCATGATTCATGGGTACAAGGTGCTTGTGATCCAGGATCAGGTATGGTTATTTTACAAGAAATCGCTCGAATTCTCGGTGAGGCTTATCGTAATGGTAAGATTATTTACTCCTGTTGTAATATGTAACGTGGAGATGAAGCTATTCTTGCAAATAAATCCTTAATAATCGTTAATTTATCATCGAGAATTTTGTGTTAAAGCAGGTGATGGTGTTTGATCAATAAGGTTCCACCCAGTCACATCAAAAAAGTAAACTTTCATTGATAGGCAGTAGGAATTTAAAGAATTGGTATGCATGAATAATTAATGATATAGAGTGAATGAAATTACAAGGCTTGTATTCTTTTTACATGACTAATGAAGTTTTCTAGATTACATTCTGGATCACCATTTAAATCAGAAAGTCATTGTAGCCTTATTTTTAGCATTACGATCTACACTAACGAGATTAAAATTAGTCTATGTCTTTGTAGCTCGTAGCAACAATTATAAGTTGTAATAGTGGTCACTTTTTATTAAGCAGTTTACTATTATTAACAATTTCGTATCACTCCACAGTACTTTACATGGTTCCGGGTAAAGGAGTTCACTTTTGAAATCAGTACTTCACTTTTGTTAGATTTTACACTAGAAATATGATGAAGTTTAGGAAACAGATTATATATATATATATATATATATATATATATATATCTTCATTTAGTAAACCTTATGTATTAATGTTTTTGAAAAAAGGTTTCAAACCTCGTCGTACGATAATTCTTGGTTCTTGGGATGGAGAGGAATTTTCTGTCTTGGGTTCAACACATTTTGTACATAAATCTGAATATGAACTATTGTCTAGATGTGTTGTTTACATCAATTCAGATTGTCCAGTTAAAGGTCATAAAGACTTTTCAGCTCGAACCGATAGTTTATTAATTGATAGTCTTATAAATGCCGCAAAACTAGTTCCAGTTGACCCACCAATAAATATGCAATCATTCTATGATGAATGGTTAAACAATAAAATGAGTGATGATAATGAACCTGTGTAAGTTTTAATTTTATTTTCAAGATGCTAGAAAGATGTTTTGTTATTAATTAAAATTATTTTATATTTCGAATATTCAAGGCCTAGCCATTTGGATAGATTTTTCTGTTTCAATAGTCATTTTTAACATGAAAAATAATAGACAAATGCTTTTAACTTTATTGTATGTAGAAAGTATTTCAGGCGCAAGAAAGTCAGTATAAGCAAAGATAGATAGTGGCTAGCAGTGAAATCCAGGACGCGCGTTTCGTTCTATTTAGGACTCGTCAGCTGGATGCACCTGTATCTCAGAGTTGATGTTGACGAAACCCACGTCCTAGATTCCACTGCTATCCACTATCGACCTTAGAATGTTTGTGGATTAAGGCAATATCGAGGTGATATGCACAGTATACACATATGCCAATAAGATACTGATCAACTGCAGTCCTAAACATCAATGGGAAGATTCAAGTAAACAATATCACGTGAATTTTACAAGAAAGTCAGTTCCATCTTACGTATATTTGATAACGGTTTCAGGGTATTCTGTCGATTAAATAGTGATTGTTACTGTTATGTCCTGTGTCGCATATGTTGTGTACATGTCAGATGTGTTGCATCCGTTATTCTACTGCTTATATTTAGGAACAGGAACATTGTCGATCCCCACGTTGTGCTAAGTAAGAACAACATACTGGTGCAAATGGTGACCTATTGACTCTCTAAATAAACATCTTCATTTAACCAAATGCACTCATTTATGTACTAATTTTACACGCAGTTGATTAGTTAATAAACGTTGTATAAGTTAAAGGATACACAGGGTTACTGTAAAACATATACGAAGTTCACACAGAATCTTACTAAAAGTATTGTCACACTGGTCGGATTTTCACACATGCCATACTAAACGAAATTCTTACTTTATTGGTACAAACATGTTAACCGGAAGTAATGTCACGCTGGAAAATATAGAATTACTATAGTAACGAATAAAATTCTAAGTGTGTATAATAACAAATAGCAAATTCGGGTATGAGGTTCTTCTCTTGGTACTTTCACATATCAATTAAGGAACAGGTTATTCCTTGTTATAAAATAACGTCATCTGCGAACATAATTCAAGGTTTGAAAATTAGATTCTGAGTTCATTCTAGAACTTTATGCAAAGGATCGGTAAAGTGAGTTTTTCATTATCACTGTTGATGTTGCAGATTCACGTGTAAGATCATTTCGTGATATAAATGCGAATAAAAAGGCGTAGTTACAATAAGCTTAATTGTAAATTTTTATTGATTGATCAGTACATGAACTTGTACAATGACATTGATTTTAGTTCAGCTTGACAGACGGACAGAAGGTTCTAGACTTGCTGAATGATCATAAGTGAAATGGTCAAGACCATTGCAAACGACTTGAAACCTAGTCACTAAGGTTTCTCAACCATAGAACATGTGAACTATGTCACAATGTTACAATGACGATCGTTTACTTTATGATTTGGTTAAATTTTATATAACTTCTTTACTAGTTATTCTCTTCTAATATAAGCGATCCATTTGTGAACATAACTATCAATTACGGCCTGTTTCGCTAATCTTTTACTCTTTTAATATTTCATTTATATTAGTTTCATAAGTTATGTTTTGGTTATATAACCTCTAACTTTTTATCTTTCATGACTGGCGATAATGTACTTCCTGCTCCTGTTATTATTTTGCACTGGTATATTACTTATAATGCAAAATATGTTGTAATTCTGAAAATGCACTCCTAACTATTTATTTTGATCAGTGTTCTTCTAGAATCACGTCTCTTGGTGGTGGATCGGATCATATACCTTTTGCCTATCGTTTAGGGATTCCATCAACATATCCAGAATTTCTACCAGTAAGTTTGTTTAGTGTTTGACACTAAAACGCTATTCTTACACTGATATACAAAGTCATTAGATTGGAAACCTTGATGACAAATTTTAACGTAGTTCAATGAATTGTGTTGTAATAAATTATTGGTTATATATCACATATAATTGTGTCTTCTTAGCATTCCTCAAGGATCGTTGAGTAACATTGTGACCAATGTCATGGGTAAACAGTGTACTAGACGAAGGTTGCACATCAATCAGTGAGGTTGTAAGTTTTCATCGACTGAATTGTTCAGAACATGTGTTACGTATGCCTAAACTCCGCCTACTTGGACAGGCAATGTTTGTTGTTGTAGAAGCAGTTTAGAATAAAGCTTGGAGCTGCCAAGTCAAGATGTGGTATCAGTCCATTAAGTTATTGACTGTTCGTATGAGCACTTTTGTCAGAAACAGATTACCTGGTCGGAGTCCGATCAATAACCATGTTTAATGGTTATGGAACGTTGGGTGACATGGCTTAAAATCAGTCGCAGTGGCACAGTTGCATTCACTCTTTATCTTACCCAAGATCTCTAGTTTTAATGTTCTCACATTGACACCTCTTTTTATCTTTTCGAACTATGTTCTCAATGATTAATTTTTGCACTGATACTATTAATGTTTCTCAATTCATGGTAATTTCATCTCATTTTGGTAATCTGGTCATAATGACTATCGTCAACGAACACTTGTATCAGTGTCTACAATGATTATGACTGACATATTATCTTCGTCTGCTGTCATTGAAGCAGTGCTCTTATCTGGTTGCAATCGGTTGTTGTAGTTACCCACTGTCTTGTGTATATTATTCACACTAAAGAGAAATCTTTAGTAATGTCATGTTCGTGTATTGAATATCAAATAACTGACCAATTGTAATATTTGAAGAACAGTTATTTAGAATAATTCACTCTTTTGATTTGATTTTCACGTTAATTATAGGTTACTTAGTATTTGCATCTTTCCAATGTAATCGTCCTAGTACTTGTCGGTAGAAATTTCTAATTTTAGTTTTTTTCTTTGTTTACTTTTTGTGTGTGCTATACCGTATTACTTATCAATAGTCAGTAGATTTACAATTAAAAAAATGCGACACTAAAATCTTGACAGCCGCGCAAAAATGAGGTTAGAGAAGATGAGACCTTGCAAAAAAACTTTCATGACTCAATAAAAGATAGACTAAGTAAAGACCACAATATATAATTTCATAAGTTACGGTAATCAATAAGTATCAGTTATGTTGAACAGCTATGCTGCATAGGTCACATTAATAATTGTTATCATGGCCAACTAAAAAAATCTCTTGTATACTGATCCCTTTTATACTGATGTAAAATTATAGTCTGAGGGTCAAAAAAATTACTCCACTTTTTTATTGGCAGTTTATCTGATTTAATTAGCGTAGAACAATGGCGTTAATTTATCCTGGGTTAATAAGATATTTGGAATGACTATATTTGTCGTTCCTCTAAAATGTTAATCATTTCTATAGAGCTTCTTAAAGAGATTTGTTTTTGAAGTGAACAAAATGTATGGCGTAGTTCACTTCGATTTACATAATGTTTTATCTTCATTTGATTGATAGAATTGTACATGTCTAACATCAAGTTACTGAGTAATTAGTAGGTTAAATATTGTCTGTAATTCTAATTTAACAATTGTATGTTTTATTTTATTCCATTATTGTTTCTTTCTTTTTATTATAGGACGATGGCTTATACAATACACCAGTTTACCACACTGCTTATGATATTATTGATGTTGTAGAAAGATTTACTGATCCTGCTTCACTTACAGGTCACTTGCCTCGACATAGATTAATTACTCGTTTAATATTAACTCTTATCATACAGTTTGCATATACTCCACGTCTACCACTGTCAATATTGAGATGCTCACAATGTTTATTGGATGATTGGTTGAAATTTATGGAGTTGGTAACTCATCAAATACCTAATATTTCAGAATATGGTGTGAATCTAGGTAAGTTTTTAATATTTGCTCATATATCCCGAATAATTTTTTGTCCTGACCATTAGAAGTTGTTGATTGTCCTCAACAGTTCCTTCTTTTTGTAATTAGCCATAACTGTTTTTTCAAATGTCTTTACATAAGGTTTTTTAAATGAAATGTTTCATCTTTTGATGGATTCAATCCAGCTTACTTCGAAAATTTTTATTCCCAATTAAATGAATTGAATCTACTCTCATTTAATCGGCTTTTTCATGTTGATTGTTTTTGTTATGAATTTATTAAAGACAATAAAAGCCATATGCCGATTCGTTATAATTTTTATGTCCGGCTTTTACCACGTGATTTATCCAACAGTCGAAATACAACTTCTCCAATCTTAGAATTATGCCAAAATCGATGACGTTCGACCGTTATGAACAGTCTAGCGTCCTTATTGGTCCCTTGTCCGCCTAGCCCTTCCAATTGAGTTCAGAACACCAATGACAGTTTCTATTATGCGAATCATTTATTTCAAGCATTCTTTGTGTATATACCAGACAGACAGACCGCATCACACCATAAAATAGAAAATAATATTTGTACAAGATCAAGCCAAATGTGGCTGTGAACGTGGGAGACGGTAATCAATAAACCGAATATAATTTAGGGACAGTAAATCGTATAATGATAATTTATAGGTCAAAATAAAGCTTATAATAAGGTGAATATAGATCTACACAATCTAATTACTCAATAGTTATACAATAAGAATATATATAGAATAATCGTCCATTAATAGGTCCCAGAAGTTACCCTTACTCATGTCTTCGCTAGGATATAACAATTTTTATACCCGAAAACCTGCTCTAAATCAAGCCCGTTCCGCTTAACATTCTTATGTTCTTAAAGCATCAGATCTTTACACTAGTTATTAATCAGTATTATTTAAACGGCTGGGTTATGAGCTGTTACTATTCCATAAGGCTGCGTTTTTTTCAGTAACTGTTATATGAATTTGCTTAATTGATTGTCTCCTACTCCTAGTGATTCGTAACCAATCGTGGCTATAGTATAACGCCGACTTTCAATGATTTTGTCTAATCAACAAATAGCATTTAGATTCAACAGACTTCACATTATTACAGCGAAATCATAACAAAGGACCAAGAGTTTTAACATGGTTGGTGGAAAGGTAAGCGTTAGGACTTACTATGGAGTTTGAGTTACACATATTCATATTGACAAATAGTTATGCACATAGTTCTTTGATTTCAAATGTGAAAAAGCTTTAGGTTATTTCAAAAATTCATTCATGATGGTTGAATGTTATATTCATTTCAATTTTATTTGTTTGCCATCATTCTTTCATGAAAAATCAACCTCTCACTCGTTGTCTTATGAACTGCCTAATTTCGTCCTGTCATGTTTATCAATCTTAGTTCTCATAGTAAATTTCTATTGGTTGGTTTTATTTAGCAATCAGTTAAGTACAAGTTGTTCGTCATCGCATTTTGAATTCCTTAGAAAAGTGATCGAGTCACTATCCTAAATCTTATTAGTTCCGTGTTACAGTATATTTTTTATTTGGAATCTCAGCTTTACATAAATTGTGAAAAGTAATTGGACCCTATCTCTATTCAATCTGTTTATTTCACATCCATCATTATTCTGACAGAAATTAATTGCGATATTTTAGTATTGTAATTATGCATCTGATGGTTTTCATCTTACTTGCATATTGACGGTACAGAAACAGTTTTAACTCCCACCTTTATTCTTAGTTCATATGAAAGCAAATTAACGCCTAATACCAACTACCAATAACTCGAACTTATACATACAATCAATCATTCATTAATCTTCACATTGCGGAGTTTTCACATGATTCGCATATCCTACTTACTAAAGCCAACATCTAAATATGATTGGATAAACACATTATAGATTTGATTTGATTATTGAACATGGTATATTTTGATTTTGATTATTGCCCTGAAGAATTCCAGACCTGTTTGCCGGACGACACGTTAGAATTATATAAATTTCAATCGCTGACATTGTTTCGAATATAACTTTCACAGATGTCTTTATACTGGGCACCCATTTTCTGTCAAACTATTCGTTCTGATATTGACGAATGTTCGTATAAATTTACATAATTTGCCTAATATTTTTAAATTTAATGGAAAGGTATTTGGGAGAAAACGATTTTCTGGCTAAATTTCTTTCCATCTGAATAGAAGTGATTAATTTTGTCATATTTCTTTTCTTTTCTTAGATTGGGTTTTGGAAGAAATCCAGAAGTTTAAGAAGTCATCTCAAGATTTTGAAGATTTTGCAAATACTGTGGAGCGAAATTGCACTAGGTAGGTTTAGGAATAGATAAAATGTTTAGCAAAATTGTCTCCCAATTTTCAATATCACTGTTACTGATCAGTTTTCATATTTCCTTCTAAGAGCTGTTCATGTTCGCATTAATAAAGCATTCCAGTCAAGAAACTGTAACTTGTATACTATTTAACAGTAACTAGTCAATTGATTAAATCAATGGCTTCCAACTAATGTGGTTGAGACATGTATGACACACCGCTCACTCAGATAAGCTACGTTGGCTAACACAAATGTGGTAATAGGTTAAAAAAAGAGACTGATCAGTTTAAAGCTGTACAAGTCTATGACAAAACGGACTCAATCCCAGCTTCGTCAAGAAATGTGGAAATTTTTTCGGGTTCCGGTAGGTGATTCAACAAATTAATTTTTATAGATTTGGGGAAATGAGTCTCAGTACTCGGTTCGCATCCACTGTCTTCTTGTTAACATTGTGTTGAACTTTACTTCTGTGGTAGTTTTCTTTTGAGCTAATCTTGATTTTTAGTTTTATTATCTGTGCCCTTACTCCTTTTCCCATGTTGTTTTTAAGTTTGAAGAATTGGACCGAAACATATGTATTATCGACCTTATGATTGGTGAGTAACTTAAGAACGGTCTGAATGACTACAAAGCCACTTTTATGAGTTTTATACGACGCAAAAACAAATGACTGTGATTTTACCCACCTTATGAAGAATTATATCATTTACTTTACTTTTGAAAAATCGGATCTCTCAAATTGTAGCATTTTGATATCTGTCTGAATTAGTCTTTACATTCTGTATTATTTCTTTTAGCCTCTCACTATAGTTTCATTATAAAGGGGTGATTTTATCATTATAAGATCATACGAAGAATGGAGTAAGTGTCAAAAGTCACAGCAATGATTATGCTTAATAGACTGGATTTACCATGTGATGTGATGAACAATCCATTGAAAAAGTCTGTACACTGTTTCTAAAAGACTAAAATTGTTTTCGTTATTTTTCTCTTGAATTTTAGTTTTCCCTCCTACCTCAATCGTATACTTGTTGGTGTTTCTAAACATTTTGTGGCTGCTGGTCAGTGTGAAAAATCATCTTTAAAAAATGTCATCCAAGGAACTGCTGGTTATAAATCAGTTTATTTTCCTCATGTAAAATCATCATTTAAAAATCTTAAAATCTCATATGATAAATGTAAGACAAAAACTTTAAATTCAACAGAACTGTACGATTTCAAACTGGAACTTTCAAATGTTTTGAATTGTTTACAACAACTAACTAATTGGCTTCGAAATAGTTGGATTGGTTTAACTAACTCTTCAGTAGCATTATGATAGTTACTCTTCATATTCACTTTTATATGGAATTTAGTAAAAACTCTCATACTTATAATGTCAGTGTATTACACTTTTACTTTCAGAATATATTTTGTAGTTGCAAGTGATTTTTCTTCAATTTAAAGCAATGGATGTTATGTGAATTCCAAGAGTCGAGAAAGAGTAAGATGATAGAACAGTCCTGAGCATAATTAATTTAAATTGTTGACCCGTTGCTCTTTAATACCCGTGTCAGTTATTCTGAAACTATTTCTTCTGACTTCAGTGCTTGAACTTTGATTTTTATGTGAAAATAGTTAAGTTTGTTGGTGATTCTACTAAAGGTCGCTACTTGTCCTTGTTATATGTTAGTAATCTAGTTTACTATTATTATTCAGTTTATTTAGTTATTTATTTAAACACATAAATATTGGTACAAAGGGGCACCAGATATATATACGCAACACAAAAAATTATCATTTCATTTAATTGTGTGGGGGCTATGATACTGCTCGGGTGCCCAGACCGAAACAGATGGTTTTCTTAAGGGGCCACACTCGGAGCCTTCGACCTAAAGGTCCAATCCACAAGGCAGTGGAGCATCGTAAGAAGATGCAGTCCCATGGTAGCCGGTGATCAATTGATTTATACTCCATTTGTTCCTTCAGGATACTGGAGCCCATGTGCACCATTGGTTTAGAATGAGGGTTTTCCAACTTCCCTGGATGGCGTCGCCTTGTCCACCAACCCGGTTAAGGTGCCAGACATCCGCTTTCCGTCTTCTTAACTTCGTAAACAACAGTAATGCTACGAGAAGGCAGTGAGTAGGACTTTCCTGTCAGAGGCTGTATACGCGTGACCGTGTGCGGGCATTTCGAGAGAGAGGGTGGGCCCTCCCCACTCTCGGCCGTACCAGGGCATTTGGGGGCCTTTACAATTCAGTGTTTACTGTCGATTGGGTGAGATAAGCGCTTTCATGGAGGTTGTGCGTCTAGTTTTTTTTCTAAACCTTTTCCATATAACTGAACCCAAATCAGGTCGTAAACAGTTGTTTACGCATGATACTCAACATTCACTGGCCGGATATTATCAGCAACAGCGTTTTATGGGAGAGGACAAACCAGCTTCCAGATGAAGAGGAAGTTAGGAAAAGACGTCGGAAGTGGATAGGTCACACATTAAGGAAATCGCCGATGTGCATCACGAGGCAATCCCTAACTTGAAATCCGGAAGGGAAGCGGAAAAGAGGAAGGCCAAAGAACATATTACGCCGAGAGATTGAAGCGGATATGAAAAGAATGAATAACAACTGGAAAGGATTGCCCAGGACGGAGTTGGATGGAGAATACTGGTGAGCGGCCTATTCTCCTCCACAAGGAGTAACAGGCGTAAGTAAGTAAATCAAGTCGTAGTTTGATTTCAGGTTTGGAGTTTTTTGGATTTTTATGATTGGTTTCCAAACATTCACAACTTATTTCTATATCAGAGTTGAAATCAGTTCGTTTTTCAGGTTTATCAAGAACTTTCGTATGAATTATGTAATCGAGAAGAATTAAAAAATCCAAGTAAATACAATTATATCTGTATTTGCATTTGCATATCAGTTGGACAAAATCATTTCGTACTCGTTGTTTCGATTTACTCTGTGTGCTTGCCGGTATGCCGTCTTTGGAAATCAAACTTTGTATGCTTGCAGTTAATTGATCACTGATTAGTGACCAGTTTCTTGTTTATCAATTCTCTGTGAAGGTTGGTGACACGGACTCTAATCCTCTAGAAAACATCAGTATCAAGATTATAGGTGCATCTTGTTTACGAATCACAATTAGCATGAAACCTATGTCCATGATTTTCTGTCGACTATTCCTAACAACCACTTTACAACTGTAGAGACGTTAGTCTGGTTTTTTACTGATTTGTCCTCGGAATGTGGATTATTTTATTTACAGATTAGGAACTGTCTTAAGGAATAGTCAACTGCTAACCTCAAATAATTTTTTTGTAAATGAAATACCTGTTATTTTGAAAAACTCCAAGACGAATCTCTGATGAAATGCTCAATAATCTCTAATTACTGAAGCAAGATATATTATTTGGCTTGACAACGATATGATTTAATTCCCAATCCAACCTTAACTCTATTATCCGCAAACATTGAATATGTACCTTAAAAATCGTTCAATACTAGAATTTTCTTTAAAATCTACTTAATTGATGCTCACTTGTTTTTTTTAAACTCGAACTCCAACACTACATTCTTGGGTCCGACAGCTTGAGTGAATCTATAGCAAACTGGTTACTCAATTTTCATGAGTTCTGTACATTAAGACATTACTAATAAACGTTTTTCATCCATCCATCGGCGCTGATAGATTGATACTGTCGTGTTTTGTAAACATTTGATTGGATGTCAACTTGTATATTAACTTAGGGATTTTCCCGTTGTATTAAACTTTCATTCCCTTCACCAAACAAAGTATACTCACGAACCAAGTGATGAATATTGACTTTGAAATTGGTTTAGGACAACATTTACAGGTATTTATTAAGTGAATGGTCAGTTGATAAGTTCTAAACTACTGAGATAGAAAGTATGAATCCTGGTGTTAAACGAAAACTATGAACAAAAAACAGACGATTATATGTTCAATGAATAAGCTTAATTAAAATTAACCTATAATACGGAAAGGATACGGTTGTCATAATTAATTATGTAATACGTATCTGTGTAATTACCATACAACTACTACTAAATGTTGGTGGACACTATTGCTCAAAAATGACTAACTATGATATTAGTTACTGAATATTAATAAGTAACATAATGTGACATACAAAAGGAAGTGACGGTAAAAAAAAGTGTGAAATTCTATTGTTTCTATATTACTTAGCAACATTAGAGATGTTAAAAGCCCGTTTTAAGAACTAGACAGATGTTTGCTGTTGCAAAGATGTCATAGTAACTGCTTGAATTATTCACTCTATTCTCTAAGTAGTAATAATTGGCTATATATATATATATATATATATATATATATATATATATATATATATATATATATATATATATATATATATATATATAATTTTCAAATTTTTTCGGCTATTATTATTTGAATATCAATACTTTGATTGTGCGCCATGATTTCAAGGTTGGCGGAACGATTTTCAAATAAATCCACCACTATACTAGTATACAGCCAAGTAAGACATTTAATATTGAACTTTTATTTGAAAATATATCAATAGAGTTTCTATAACTTGGCATGGTTCTTACTCAGTTTTTAATGATGTTTAGGGGTTTGGTAACCAAAACAACAATCGACATAAGGTTCTACAAAGTATCCTTTCAGACCCTACGTAATATATTACATTAATTTACTGTATAGATACGAAGTCGGCTATATTTTTACGTAGTTGCTAGAAGTGAAATAAATACACATATATTCTGTTGATAAGTCAAGTTAATGCAATGTAGATATATAAGATCAAACACTAGTTGCATTCACGGTACGTATATTTCAGGCAGGGAAACTGAGCGAGTGCATATGGGAATGGCAGCTGTTCGATTCTCAACTTCAGAACTACTCGGTCCTAAAAATGATGGCGTATTCTACCATACGAAGTTGTCACTCCATAGACTTTTGGTGGTTAAGTGTAATACTTAGATACCAAAGCTGAATAAACACGTTCAGCGAACTATGTGTTATTTATTTATAAATAAATTAAATTTGGCTATATGATTATCACGTCGAACCTGCATGATGCAGCATTTCATTACATATCCTTACCCCTGCTTGTATACACAAACCACTTGTTTGTAATTAATAATTGTATGACGTTTATTTGGTAGTACTTACTTACTTACTTACATACTTTCGCCTGTTACTCCCAATGGAGCATAGGCCGCCGACCAGCATTCTCCAACCCACTCTGTCCTGGGCCTTCTTTTCTAGTTCTATCCAGTTCTTGTTCATTCTTCTCATGTCTGTCTCTATTTCTCGGCGTAATGTGTTCTTTGGTCTTCCTCTTCTCCTTTGACCTTCAGGATTCCATGTGAGGGCTTGTCTTGTGACGCAATCGGGTGATTTCCTCAAAGTGTGCCCTATCCACTTCCAGCGCTTCCTCCTGATTTATTCCTCTGCTGGAATCTGGTATGTTGTCTCCCACAGTAACTTGTTGCTGATAGTGTCTGGCCATCTGATCCGAAGTATCTTGCGTAGACAACTGTTAATAAACACTTGTATCTTCTGGATAATGGCTTTCGTAGTTCTCCACGTCTCCGCCCCATACAATAGAACTGTCTTGACATTTGTATTGAAAATTCTAACTTTGGTGTTGGTTGACAATTGTTTTGAGCTCCAGATGTTTTTCAGTTGTAAGTATGCTTCTCTTGTTTTGCCGATCCTCGCCCTCACATCTGCATCTGATCCACCGTGTTCATCAATGATGCTGCCCAGATATGTAAAGCTTTCCACATCCTCCAAAGCTTCTCCGTCAAGTGTAATTTGATTGGTGCATATTGTGTTGTATCGGAGAGTCTTGCTTTTCCCTTTGTTTATATTGAGACCTACTGCTGCTGAGGCTGCTGCTACACTGGTCGTTTTCTCCTGCATTTGTTGTTGCGTTTGTGATAGAAGAGCCAGATCATCCGCGAAGTCTAGATCGTCAAGCTGCATCCTGCCTGTCCACTGTATCCCGTGCTTTCCTCCAGTCGTTGACGTCTTCATGATCCAGTCGATCACCAGGAGAAAGAGAAACGGTGAGAGTAAGCAACCTTGCCTAACACCAGTCTTTACTTCAAACGAGTCGGTGAGTTGTCCTCCGTGGACGATTTGGCAGTTTAGTCCATCATAGGAGTTCCGTATGATATTGACTATCTTCTCAGGCACGCCGTAGTGTCGAAGAAGCCTCCATAGTGTCGTCCTGTCCACGCTATAAAATGCCTTTTTGTAGTCGATGAAGTTGATGTAGAGTGATGAGTTCCATTCGATCGATTGTTCCACAATGATACGTAGAGTTGTGCACGATCTATCCTTACGAAATCCAGCTTGTTGATCTCGAAGTTGGGCGTCCACGGAATCCTTCATCCTGTTTAACAATACCCTGTTGAAAACTTTCCCTGGTATTGAGAGAAGAGTGATGCCCCTGTAGTTATCGCACTTGCTAAGATCACCTTTCTTTGGTATTTTGATCAGAAGTCCTTTTTTCCAGTCTGTTGGTACTTGTTCTTCGTCCCAAATCTTACTGAAGAGGATGTGGAGTATCTTGGCAGTTGCTGCTACATTTGATTTCAGTGCCTCTGCCGGGATGTTGTCTGGTCCCGCTGCTTTGCCGCTCTTGATTTGTCTAATGGCCATGCTGATCTTTTCAATTGTTGGTGGGCCAACATCGATTGGGAGGTCTGTAGGTGCTGCTTCGATGTTGGGTG